TGGGTTCCTCAGTGGCCCCTGACTAAAGAAAAGATACAAGTAGCCCATGACCTGGTCAAACAACAATTAGCGGAGGGACATATACAACCTTCCATATCTCCCCATAATACTCCCATTTTTGTCATCAAAAAGAAATCTGGTAAATGGAGATTATTGCAAGATTTAAGAGCCATTAATAATGAGATGGTTATTATGGAACCTGCTCAATCGGGGATTCCCCAATTGTCTGCTTTGCCAAAAACCGGGTATGTTTTAGCTATAGATATTAAAGATTGTTTTTTTTTTTCAATTCCAATTCATCCTGAGGATAGTCCACGTTTTGCATTTACTATCCCTGCACTGAATCATGAAGCTCCTGATCAGAGCTATGAATGGAAAGTACTCCCTCAAGGGATGGCTAACATCCCAACTATGTGTCAAATTTATGTTAACAAAGCAATCCAGCCACTTAGAAATCAAAATCCTGAAATACAAATATTTCACTATATGGATGATGTATTATTAGCACATAAAGATAAAAACACATTGCTAGAATGTTATGCCACACTTACAAATTTATTAAAAAATTATAATCTAGAGATAGCAATAGATAAAGTACAATTAAATTTTCCAATTAATTATTTATGAGTTCTATTATCTTCAACCATGGTCCGTCCACCCAAAATTCAAATACGAGTAGATCAACTCAAATCACTTAACGACTTTCAAAAGTTATTAGGAGACATAAATTGGATAAGGCTTTATCTAGGCATACCAACAGGAGAGTTGGGACCTGTATTTGATATCCTAAAAGGTCCATCAGATCCAAATTCACCCCGAATGTTAACGCCTGAAGCAAGAAAGGCATTAAAAATCATTGAAACATATATGGAAAATATGCATTTGGATAGAATTGATATAAGTTTGCCTTTATTATTTATTGTACTACCAACAAAAAATATTCCTACAGGAGTATTTTGGCAAGAAGGTCCATTATTGTGGATACATTTATCTTATTCTCCTAACACTACTCTTACTAGGTATCCTGAGGCTGTAGGACAATTAATATTCAAAGGAATAAAAGCAGCCAAGGGAGTGTTTGGAATTTCTCCCAATAAAATTATTACTCCATATACTATGGATCAAATTGATGAGTTAGCTAATGAGTTAAATACTTGGGCAATAATCATGTGTAAATCTAATGTTTCCTTTGATAACCACTTACCATCTAACCCTTTGTTGTCTTTTTGGTCTTCGCATCCTGTAGTTTTTCCAAAAATGACAAGAAAAACACCTATCATGAATGCTCCAAATATATTCACTGATGGGTCAAATAATGGTACAGCAGCAGTAGTTACCCCTGATCAAACTTTTACATTTTTAGTACCCAAACAATCAGCTCAAAAGGTAGAGCTTAATGCAGTATTACAAGCTTTGTGATGTTTAAAGATTCTGTATTTATTTTCTGATAGTCAGTATATAGTTAATGCTATAGTATCCCTTGAAGATGCTGGTAGGATTTCTCCTTCCTCTACTGTTTTCTCTTTGTTTTCCACTATACAAAGTCTAATCTGGGACAGAAAAGATCCATTCTTTATAGGACATATCAGGGCACATACAGGATTGCCTGGAGCCCTTAGTTTGGACAATGATTTAGCAGATAAAACTACACATGACATACATATTTTCTCTACTCTAGAAGAAGCTACAAATTTTCCTAAAAGGTTCCATGTCAATGCTAATAATTTACAAAAGCATTTTAAAATAACTAAGGAACAAGCTAGACAAAAACAATGTCAAAATTGTGTGACCTTTTTACCACAAGTTAATCTTGGAGTCAATCCTAGAGGACTGATACCTAACCATATTTGGCAGATGGATGTCACACACTTGCCAGAATTTGGAAAATTAAAATATTTGCATGTTACAGTTGATATTTCTTCCGGATTTTTGATGGGCTCTCTTCATGCCGGAGAAAAAACTAAAAGATATTATAAAAATATCTAATAAATAAAAAAACCAAAGATATTATAGCTCATTGCTTACAAAATTTTGCCACTGTGGGCGTTCCAAAACAGTTAAAAACAGATAATGGTCCTGGTTATACTTCTACCTCTTTTAAACAATTTTGCTCATCATTTGGCATTACTCATATAACAGTAATCCCATACAATCCACAAGGACAAGGCATAGTTGAAAGACCTCATCAAACTTTTAACATGTACTTATTAAAGCAAAAAGAGGGAATTGGAAAGGGGTATATATCCCCCAAAGATAAACTTAAAATAACCCTTTTTACTCTAAACTTTTAAAATTTGGATTCATCAGGGCTTAGTGCTGCAGAAAGGCATATGTATCCAAAAAATGTACATAAGCCTAAGGTACTTTGGAAGGATATTTTAACAGGACAATGGAAAGGTCCTGACCCAGTGATTGTCTGGAGTTGGGGTTCTGTTTGTGTGTTGTTTCCACAGGGAGAACAGCAGCCAACTTGGATTCCAGAGAGACTAACCAAAGTGATTTCTACAGACCAAAAAGAAGATAATTTGACTCAAATCCATAACAGCTGATATCCAGAGCTCCAGCTTGTCTATTCTTACATCTGCAACAGTGGTTCTCCCACACCTGGAGGCTAATGGATAATGAACACCATTAAAGCCTATTTCAAATGTAAAAAACCTTGGGGCTTGCTTGTGGGAATACCTTCAGACCCATTATGCAAGTTTTGGGATATCCAAAAAAAAGTCAAACCCAGGTGGTAACCAGGATGTCTTTTTCAATATCTATTTTATTATTGCCCTTTCCCACATCATAAAGTTCTATTTTATTTTTTGAGCTCATACAGACCTAGGTTAATGTTCTTCTGATCAGTTTTATTTTTTGAATGTGGAGTTTTTAAACATTGCAATGGAGATTTCACCTGTGAAAAGCTACAAGGCCTTTACTATTGCCTTATGTGCTTATGTTATGTGTGCACACTTGTGTTTTGTGTTGTATGTCTGTATGTGCGTATGTCCATATATCATATATGAGGAGCGCTCATGAAAAAATGGATCCAAATATTTTTTTTATTCACGTGATTTAAATGGTTTAATTTAAATTGGGTAAACAGCTGTTGAGGATTGTTTTAATATGTGAACAAATAAGGAGGTTAACAGATCTGTTTGTTTACTTTCACCTTTCCTTTTCATTATATCTAATTCTATTCAGGATACTAAATTGTTTAAAAAATTGCTTTCTTTTAGTGCCTTCTGGAATGTTATATAATTTTTTTTTTTAGCCATCATTGCCAGAATTCCTATCTTCATCCCAGTGCCGGTGAAGACAAAGATAAAACCAAACTAATAGCTATCACAACAAACAGTATAAACTGATGCATCAATGAATAATGTAACTCAACAAGTGATGCTCAATCAAGGAGTCGATTTACTTTGGGAGGAAATGAACATATTAATAGATTCCTCTGCTTTGAACTGCTTGCAGAACTTGCCTGGACTATCACTTGTATGCATTGTGAACTATCTGTTGGTGCAGCAAATTGTGGTAGTGCTGGAGTATCTTTGCTGATGGTGTCACCGGTGGTACAATTTTTCCAGAGGAGCCGTCAATTGGCTTGGTGTTGTGGCATTTCTGTATCCTCCTCCCTTCTGCTTGTGATGGTCGTTTCAGCTAAAATTTGGGGGCCAACAGAGGCGAGACAAAGAACTTCACCCCCCCCACACTGGCACCAAGGCCAAATTTGGGGACCAACAGAGGTGAGGCAAAGAACCTCACCCCCGCACTGGCACCAAGGCCAAATTTGGGGGCCAACAGAGGTGAGGCAAAGAACCTCACCCCCCCACACACTGGTGCAAAGGCCTATCCACAAGTATGGCTGTATGCTGAACCAATAGTCAATGACGGGTATGATCCAATTGCAATGGTACCAACCTAAGACAGGAGGCTGACGCCTTGAGGTCAGCTCATCCGATGACGGGTAAGGACCATATGTAGAATTGGACAACCTAAAACAGGCAAGGTCCCTTAACTACATGCTTGGTGTTTAATTAAACAGAAGGGGGGAGATGCTGAGAGCCATAGCCGAATGGAGTGGTTGAGAGGTGACGCCAGCAAGCCATTGAGATGATGATGGTTATGTTAAGCTGTGTATTCAATTGTATATTAGACCCCTACTGTCCACCTCAGGTGCCGGCTACTTTGGACTCGCTCTACTTTGGAGTTCTCTCAGGGATTCCTGGGGAGTTCGTGTTGGTTGGGGAAGTGCCGGAGGAGGGATTTTCCGGTTGGTGTGTGGTGTGTCCCAGGAGAAGGTTGCATGCATGGCATTCACAGGAGTTCGGAAATAAAGTTTGTTCCTGCTTGAATGGCTCGTGATTTGCGCCCAGCCAGACTGCAGCAATAAGGTGCTCGGGACTGGCACCAGGAGGTACCCAAAAATGTATTAAATAAATTTATGAGAAAAAAGTTTTTAACAAACAGTGGCTGCCCTATAAATAGAAAACTCCTTGCCCCTTAAAGAATTCAAGGAGAATTGTGGTTTCTCTGTTGGCTTGAATTGTCCTAACATCATAAAAATTTTTAATCTGAGAAGTGTGACAGAAATGTATTTTCTCATAGTTCTGAGTGCTAGAAATCTGAAATGAAGGTGTCACCATGGTCAGGGTCTGATGAGGCATCTCTTCCTGGCTTGAAGACAGTATTCTATGGTGTCCTCACATGATGTGTGTTCTCACATGAAAGAAAGAGGAAGTAAACTCTCTGTCTCTTAAAGGGGCATTAATCCTATCATGAGGGTACTGATTAAATCTCGTTACCTCCAAAGGTCTCATCTTCAAAATACCACCACATTGGGGATTGGAGTTCAGTTTGTATCAACTACCACAGGGTTATTTGTCATGGATAATATAAAACATTCCTACTTTGGGAAGAGCTTGGACCAAATCATGTCTAAGGTTTTTTCTAGTGTTTAGATTCAGTAATGTTGAATTCAAAATGTTTACATTTTGTTCTTTATTTGACAGGTATATCTTCTAAGAAAGAAAATTTATTATTTTATTCCAACGGTTGTAATAAAGTCAAATCTATTCTTCCTGTTGATGAGTGGAATACGCTAAAGCAAGGAGCCAACAAAGAAATCAACAGTATTGAAAAAACAGATTTATTGGAGTCATATTTTTCAGCAAGTCAAGATACCAATGTAGGGAGTACTCACTCCCAGTCAAGTGAGTTTGAAGACAGTATTGACTATGCTTTTTTGAATGAGACATACTCTATACATTATTCAGAGTCAAAGCTAAATGAAAATCTTGCTCTTTTAAATTCAGAATTAGATCCTGAAAAGCAAAAAAGAGAAGAGATATTTTTTGATATTTTGGAGCGTCAAGGTAAGAAGACTGTTGGCTTGGAAAAAATCTCCAAGATTTCAGATGATGACTATAAAGAAACCGCTGAAGATATGCAAAAGTATGATATAGATGAAGACTCACAGCAGGAATATCACAGTGCAGAAGAACAAGAATATATAAGTAACCATTTATCTTTTGATGGAGCCAAAACATTAAGTATATCTAATCTGGAAGTTGTTGAATTAAGAAATTCAGGTTATGAAGTTAAATGTGTTAGCAATATAGAAGATAATCATGTTAAGTTGGAAAGTAGTTCTATTATTTCTTTGGATTCACTTAATGTTTTTGCACAAGAATATTCGCCTCATGTCTCTCAATTTCAGAATTCTGTCATGATAAAAGAAAATCATGAATCAAAGCATGAAAAGTGGAAGGAACAAGAGACTAGTTTAATGTACCACACGGTATTTGATCATCTTTTACAAAGAAACAATTCTCTTGGAAACCAAGAATCTCAACCTAAGAGTGGTTTCTTGAATCCTCAAAAAACACTCAAAACTAAGATTTATACTGAGAAAACGAAATCTCAAATACCTGAAAGTAAAGATCTTTGTGGAAATACAATTGTTGAAAACAAAGTATCACAGCATCTTGAAAATCCTACCAAGTTACCTCAGAACAAAGCTTTGGAGTCTTTACTCCAATCCTGTAAAGGTTGCCAGACTCCCTGGGCCTCTGTTTTTGATGACTCAGTCATTTCTGCCTGTGGGTATTCATGTTATAAAAGCCTACAAAGCAACCTTGACCCAGCCTTGGGTTTCTCTGTTACACTACCAAGAATTGCAGTCAAAGATAATCAGGCAGTGGAAAAGGATAGTTCCCTAAAAGTTGTTAGCAACAGTACTACAAATAAAATATGCTCTCCTGATAGGAAAGGAACATGTCCTAAATCAGTGTCAGATGCAGCAAGTTGTACAGTCACAGTTAATCAGACAGTGGATGTTAGCACTGATTTTAGGGCTTGTTTCACAACCAGCAGGGCAACAAGTGCAAGATCTCCTGTAGTATCTACATCAAGCAACACAGAGATAACAATGATGAATAAACAACGGCCTGGCGGATGGCAGAGTGGAAAACAAACAAGTGTGGCTTGTAATACAGACTGGTCATGCAGTCAAGATTGTGCAGACACACAGGTGGTTTTGACAAAAGGATCAGGAAGATCTCTCTCAGTTGATGGTTTAAAGCCAGACGGAAATTTCCTAAATAAGGTAAAATCAGTATGATAATAAAATTTTATTTTACTGTATAAATTTTACCTTATAAAGCACATGCTAATATAAATGTTGGTGGTTCATTATGTCATATTGAGGCCTTTGTGAAAAAATGTGAAGGGAATGAGTAGGTAAATTGCCTCCAGCCCTGTTATTTGGGGGTAGCTATTGCCACAAAGACCTTTTGAAGTTTAGTTTTACATTTTATCAGTTTGAAACTCCAGATATAACATGATTTGTTTGTCATATCTTTATAATTTAATTTTAAATTATGTTTTTAGGATTCCATGGAAGTAAGAAAAACATTGGATATCATAGACTTAAAGAAACATCCTGAGAGGTAGGTCAGATGTATAACTTGTAGTCTTAAACGTGAAAAAAGTCTAAAGTAGTATTTGCTTTCTGTGTATCATACTTAGCCATATAGAATTATATCTAATAGGAACTTTTAATAAATTACCTATCTTAGCCATTTGTCTGCTAATGAATAATATTGAAACAGTATGAGATATTAAAACTCTTTACTTAATGAGAATTTAGTCTTGATAGTTCCTTCCAAAACTCATATTTATGTTTCCTTATTCAGACTAAATCCACAGTGATTTAATTTTCTGGTTTTTCTTATTATTCCCCTATAAACCAAAACAAAATAGCACCTTTTGAATCAAATGTCATAAATTTAAAGGAGTTAATAGCTACACTCACTAAAGTATTTTAATCTTAATTCATCATATAATTACTTTGCACTTACTACTTAACACAGTGGAGAACCAGGAAGTGGGATGGGAAAGAGAGAAAGGCCAAGTTAATTACTATGCTCTGAAGTCATTTAATTTTTCATTCTTCTAATGAGTTGAATTTGGTATCTCAACTAAAGTAAATACAAGAATTGGCTTCGAGGACAGCTGGAAGTGGCAACTAGTAACAAAATGTCTGAAAACTGTCAGCATTGAAAAAAAGTGTAGTTTAGTTACTTGGAACTTTTTGGTTTGATATCACAGTAGACAATTTGCTTATATTAAGGATCCTTAATTGCTAAGAAAAATATACATTGTGTTTATTTTCTATTAAAGTAATATATTTAAGAACAATTTCAATCCAGAATGCTCATTAGCTTTTAAAAAATCTTGGCCAAAATTTGATTTAAGCTGGGGGGGGGGGGGGAGGCAATCCATTGATTCTGGATAAGTGAAGTCCTGGTCTTAGGTTGGAATCTTTTTTTAGTAAAAGAAAGTAAAAATTTGCAAATTGTTTACTTCCTTGACTCTTAGAATATGATTAGCTTTGACTCTTGATGTTCTTGTTTTTGTCCCTGTAGCCTCTCTGTCTTTAGTAGGAATTATCTAAAACTTGACAAGGAAATGTAAGAAATTTTAAATCTTTTTTTAGAGGCATATAATTACTGTAGAGAAATGGAATCTTATCTGATTCTGTCTTTTATTTTAAAGGGAATTTCAACTTTCTAAAGAGATGGAGAAGAATTTGCCATCAAAGTGCTGTCAGAATATAATGCAGAGAGCCATAAAAGCAGAGATGCACCTTTTAAATGTTCACTATCAGATGTGTCATCACCATTGTTGTGATATTTACAAATTTATAATGGAAAACAGAGAAGGATTAAATAGGTGTTTATTAATTTTAAGTCTGTATTTTCTTAGAAATTTATCACTAGCTTTAAATTTATTTTAGAAAATTTATTTTTCATTTTTGAAGGGCAAAATAAGAGGTAGATTGTAACTGGGTTTATTAGCTGTCTTGGGGTAATAAGAATTTAAAAATAATACTTATGAGTTTTATGGATGGGTAACAAGTGCACTGTTGGAATGCTGAATCCAGGGAAAAGATAGGTTCAGTTTTTCTTTATGAACTCCAAGTAAGGATGCAGTCATTGAGAGGGTTTTGTGTGACATTCTACCACATTCTCTAGATTATTAAGGGAAGGGTTGCTTGTACTGATCCTAGGGAGAAAAAAACACATCTGGTCTAGCCAGGCATGGTAGTACACTCCTGTAATCCCAGCAGCTCAGGAGGCTGAGGCAGGAGGATCACAAGTTCAGAGCCAGCCTCTGCAACTTAGCAAGGCTCTAAGAAACTTAACAACATCCTGTTTTCAAAAAATAAAAAGGGTTAGGGATGTGGCTCCATGGTTAAGTGCCCCTGGGTTTAATCCCTAGTAGAAAAAAGAAAAAACACATCTATTGTGGTTCATTTTTTTTTTAATCAACAGTTAAAATTTTAAAATCTAGTAGAGTTAGAACTAAGTGAATAATATTAGTGTTAAATGGATGATTTGGGCCTAAACAATTTATTTTTGTGAACTTACCTTTCAACAGGAATTTGCCAAGTAATTCTGCTAAGAAAGAATTAGGGTCAGCACTACTATCTGTTTTGGAAGACTTAAAAGTTAGATATATGAATTTGAAAGAAAAAATACACAAGGGCATACTACTGGAAGAGCTGCCCCCACTGTCAGTAGAATCAAAATTATTGTCTGCCTTCTCTACTTTTGCTTCCAGGGTATGTATATATGTTTTAAGAATAAAAATTATACTTTATTTAGACGGAATACATTTAAACAAAGTTTTTTTCTCTCCTTTTTCCTGTTTCCAGTTGGTAAAAGAAGAATCACATGAGTAAGTTATAATTCATCTAATTTAGAATTTCTTTGATCTTACAACTGCTTAATTCAGTTAACTTGGGCTTCTCTGTTTTGGTCCCCTTTTGGAACATGGATAAATCCTTTAATGATGCCTATCTGTTTAGCTTTTCAGGAGCAGATTCGGAACTAGATAATCAAAGTGCACCTGATGTTGATGTTTCTCCAGCCCTAAAAAAGACACTCTCTCAAGTGAGATTATTTAAAGTTCATCAAGATAAATATTTTAATTTTATGTCCTAAGTAAATTGTAACTTTCAGAAACCCTCACATTCTACTTTTTATTCAACTGGCTTACTTTGTGTATTACCATTTGAGTCATATAACCAATTGGAAGGAAAATAATGTTGTATTTAGGTCCAGTCCTGATCAAGATGTCAGCATGATGAGTAGAGTGACCATGTGATTACCAAACCTGGGGTTTTATTTTTTAAGGCAATACTGGGGATTGAACCCAGGGCCTCGCAATTGCTAGACAAATGCTCTACCATTGAGCTACATCCCTAGCCCTTTCTGTTTTATTTTGAGACAGTATAATTGCCTGGGCTGGTCTTGAACTTTGATCTAACTGCGTCCTGAGTAGCTTGAATTTCAGGCATCTGCCACTATACCTGGCTTCAAACCTGGAACCTTTGGGGTTAAAAGAAAATAATGTTAATAACTGAGTGTGATGATAGATACAAACCTAGACTATCTCAGGAAAAACATGATCCCTTTAGGATTCAGCAGTCCCTAGCACGGCACACACACAAAAAAAGTACAATATGCAAAAAAAAAATGTAACATTATTTTTATAATCGTGGTTTTGATTTTAAAGCAATATGTCTTTTAAGTTGGAATTCCATTTTAACTGGTTATTTGTGAAAGCCGGTGTAGTGTATTGTTTCCAAATTTTAACTGTTAATGTACTATTTTCACAATTTACCATAGCCATATTTTACCTATGTTAGTTACTTTGATTACTCTCTCTTTAAGTAAGTATAAAAACAATTTCACTATTACATAATGGGAAAGAAATTTTACTTCTCATAAATGGAAGGTATACATAAGCACATACTCTAAATTAAATATATAAAGTTAACATAATAAATATTTATATATATTTTTTTCAAAAATCATGTCAAATGCTTCTTGTGTGTCTATGCCATCATTGCCCAATAATAGTCATATTGGCACATAGTCACTGTATATAGACTGGCTTCAAATACTAATTCTTGTTAAATGTCTGACATAAACCAACAACTTAGATTCAGTTTTCTCTTCTGTAAGTCAGATTGATAATGATTTTTTTCTCTTGTAACCTTCATTATTGGGAGGGATAAATAATGCTTATGCAGAGTGCCTATCGTATACTAAGAGAATAATAATTGTTAATCCATATTATTTTTATTATCTTAATCCTCAGATGTCTTTATTATCTGAAAGTAGTCATCCTGCACAAGATCCAACACCTGAGAAAGACAGTTTTAAAAATGGTGATATAAATGTAGACTTTAGTCAACTGAAACTTGATGATAAAGGTCAGTATAATAATGTATTGTCTTGTTGCCAGAAAACAATAATGTTTAAAATATTCTTACTATTCATTACTTTTTTCCTCTAAAAGATTTTGATCTTCCAAAAAGATCATTAATTTTAATGAAATAAAGAGTTGCAGCATTCTTACTTCCTTTAGAAATGTTTTTTTAAATATTTAGTTTTTAGTTGTAGTTGGACACAATACTTTTATTTTATTTATTGTATGTGGTGCTGAGGATCGAACCCAGGGCCTCACACGTGCTAGGTGAGCTCTCTACACTGACCCACAACCCCAGCCTGATGTTACTTTCATTCTATTATATAAGATCATCTTTTCTTCAGTAAAGGACAACTCAAAAAAGTAAGGCTTTTAATAAGCTATGAATCAGTGTTAAAGAAAATTTAGGAAGCAAATCAGATTAAGAAGAATGTTATTCAGGACTGCTGAAAGCCTTTCTCAAAATATTTGTGCTTGGTTCTCTTATTTTACTAATTTTAACCATTGGATTTATACATAAAACTGTTAGTCATCAACATTCTGATTTATATTTTTAGATAACTTTTCATAGGGTTAAACATTATTCATAATTCATAGTTCATTATATTTAATATCTTAAGAGTACAGAAATTACCGTGAAATCAGTGAAGACTGGTTTGATGCTAAAGAGAATCTGACAGGAGCTGACTTCTCAGGAATACAAGAAAACCAAATTGAACACGACAAATGGAATCCAAAGTTTACACAAGGTTTGTTCTTAATAGTTGACTGAGAAATTCTAAACTAGTTTGTTTGAAAATAGTGCTTACCTATTTTGTTTTATTGGGAGACTGAAATAATATTTTGTTTCATTTGGTGGCTTTTCTTATATAAAAGAAAAGTAGCCAGTTGGAGATCATTTTTTCAAAAGATTAAATCAGTATTAAATGTTCCTTTCTGCCAGGCATGATGGTTTACACCTATATCCCTGCAATTCTGGAGGTAAGGCAGGAGTTATCTGTTTCAAGGCCAGACTCAGCAACTTAGAAAAGCCCTAAGCAACTTCACAAGACTCTATCTCAAAATAAAAAGAGCTAGGAGAGCTGGGGCTGTAGGTCAGTGGTAGAGCGCTTGCCCAGCATGTGTGAGGCACTGCGTTTAATCCTCAGCACCACATAAAAATAAATAAAATACAGGTATTGTGTTTGTCTACAACTAAAACTATTTTTTTGAAAGGGCTTGGAATGTGGCTCAGTGGTGAAGCCCCCAAGGGTTCAGTTGCAGTACCAAACAAAAAAGGGCACTCCTTTTTCAGAGAACTACTTAAAGTTTAAATCAAGAATTTAGTTAGCAGGTAGAAGTATGCCATTTGCCCCCTCCTACTGAAGGCCACCCATCAGTACTCCTTCAGGGCATCCTTTTCTTCTGAACCTTTGGCAGGTGTCTTCCAGGGGAGGATACCTGGTGAATCAAACCAGCTTCCCAGTTTCCATCAGTCAACCAGTACCAGTCTATCAAATTAGAGATGAACACCATTGCTTTTCCTTACTTTAATAATAACTACTTAAGGGATGTTTTCATCTTTATATAGTCCTTAATTGCTTATAATTGGCTTTTCTTTAGTATCCATGATTATTGCCTTCTGTCATTCTGATGATGTTTATGCTACCTTCCTTTATTTTTCCTATCTACTTCTTTGGTGTTTTTTTTTTCCATAACAGTATGGTTTTATTGGTTTTTTTCCCTACTTTTAGAAATAATGCTTATTAAGATTTTTTTAATATTCTTTTTTTAGTTGTAGATGGACACAAAATCTTTATTTTTATGTGGTGCTGAGTATCGAACCCAGGGCCTCTCACCTGGGAGGCAAGCGCTCCACCACTGAGCTACAGTCCAGCTCTAAGATTTTTAATAAAATATGAAAGTGTAAGAAAATTCACCAGGTATGGTGGTACACACACTTCTTATCCCAGCAATTGAGAGGCTAAGGCAATAGGATCTCAAGTTCAAGGCTGGCTTTGACAACTTAGGGAGAACCTATCTCAAAAAGAGTCTTGGTGGTAGAATGCCTCTGGATTCAATCCCCAGTACCAAAATAATTACTTTCACTTGAGTTTCTCAAATCTGTAATAACCACTCTGAATATTTTAGTGACCATTTTTTAATGTGCTTATTGTACATGTATTTAACACACCTACAACTTAAAATAAAGGGCATCATATTATTCAGTTTTATTGTAACCATTTTTTGTCTTTGCATTATTTTTCTCCATTATCATTTATCATATACTGCGTGTTTTGGTTCTTTGGCATATTAACTGCCTTTCTGTATTCATATATTAGCTCTCTAATACCAGGAATTTTTGTTTAGCTTACTGCCTATCTCCAGTGTAAAATTCAGTGTTCAACCCACAGGAACTTCAGTAAATATTTTTATTGGACTAGTGGAAAGTGAGGTGGTAGGTAGAATGTACATCTTCTGAGTCTCATGCTCAGACTTTCTTTATTATGCCATAGCTTTTTACTTTTCTCACTCCACTGCAAAAATCTAAATTATAAAAATAAATGTTATCACTGTTTTTCTTTAGAATACATTGTTATACACTCAGATTAATAAAAGAAGTAAGTTAAAGAAAAGGTTATTACCCAGAGATGAGGAACTATGCCTGAATTCAACACCACAACTTATTAGATTTGTGATCAGTACTCTTGAGACCTCAGTATCCTCATCTGTAAAATTAACATAGCAATAACTACCTCACAAGGTAATTGTGAGAATTACGTGAAATGATGTGTGCCAGGTTTGGGAGTTGATAGTCACTTGAATCTGAATTCATGGAGGCCTTTTTTATTTCAAACCAGATTCTCTTAACAAGAGACCATAGTCTAAGAATTTGGAGTATTTTTATCAAACAAGAAAACATCTGAAATTTAACCCTAGTTTTGTTATTTCCACAATCGTGCTATGTAGCTCAAGTTATTTCTTTCTTTCTTTTCTTGTGGGCCCTTGCCATTATCACAAGTATCTGCTGTTGATACTTACCTGATATATAAAAGTATTTTTGGTGTGCTGTCCCTCCAGCAAAGGACTATTCTAGAAGTAACTTGTGAATCAAGAGATAAATGATATTTTTCTTAGTTGTGATATAACTGATACATTTTTGAGTTCCAGAGGACGTAATCAGTTAATCCAATCTCTAAGATGATGTGATTAAGGCCCAGAAATCTTAAAAGTTATACTTCATAAGGCTCTTGTCTTCAAGCGAGTGCTGATATTTGCTCCTAAATTTAAAATAAGCTTTGTGATTGGGGAGGGGAACATGAAATATTTTAAAATGTCAGTGTCATTTCTGTTGCATATTATGTCTTTATATAAGCAGAAATGAAGAATGTTGAACCCTTACGAAGAGATAAATGTTTTCTGATACATGTTGGTGGTCTCTGCCCTTCGGTGTCTGAGGTATGCCAGGATTTCTCTTTGAGGCTTCATTTTTAAGTTTATCGGTTACTCATATTATGATTATTTTGTTTCTCTACCTTTCAACAACTTTTATTTTTCTTATTTTAGGCTGATTTAAGGTCTCATTTCCAGAAGTACCGAGTTTTTGAAATTTCAATTTATGATTCTTCTACTAATTACAGGTGTGTTTCCCAAATTCACTGAGTTTTCATTACCATTTGTCTACTATGCACCAGAGATTCTGAACTAGATGTGAACCACATTGTTGAGAATATCAAGGGCTACTCCCGCAGGAGATTCCCAGAGAAGTGGAAGGAGATACATAGACAAATAGCTGCAGTCATTAAATGGTGCTGTTCTTTATCAGCTCTTTCTGTGTACTCTTCAACTTGTCATTTGTGGTATACAGAATAGTTCTTGATTTTTGTGTAGTTTATCTTGAACATACTATTTACCAGGGGAAACAGTGCATTATTGAAGAGAATGAGCTCTAGAAATAGATGACTGTGATTCATCTCCCAGCTCCATCAGTAATTCCATGCTTGAATTTGGGCAAGTTACTTATCTTTGCTGTACTTTAGCCTCTTTGTAAAGGGAGAATAATGGTACCTTCATAGCATTGCTGTGTATTATAAATATACATAATAGTGGGATTTATTGTTGTCTATTTGTATGTGCACAAAATCCAACAATATAATTTGATCAGTTGTATTCACTAGTTCCTCCCCTTAAATTGTGCTTTGCACCTTTTGAACCGTCTGGAGTTTGTGCCTATATATAAGAATTAATTTTAATTTTTTTAGTGTGGCTATTCAGTTGCCTTTAAACCAGGAATCTGTAATTCTTTTATACGTCAACTTTGCATATTTAGAACATTATATTTTAATATAAAATAAATAGGTAAGTCATAAAAACCTTACTTTTATTTTTTCTTTTTAATTTGTTTTATATTTAATTATTCTGAATAAATATTCTTGTACCAGGTATAGTATATGACCTTTTTACTTTTAAGAGCAGATATTTTAGTCAGTAGTTACAGAATTGAGTTTGAGGTAAATTCATTAACAAAGAACTTTTTCATCTTCTACTTTTATATTTTAGATATGCGTCTCTTGCTTTTAAAAAAAACAGTGATGCAAAGATGGCTGTGAAAGAAATGAATGGAATGGAAATAAATGGAAAATCAGTAAATGTGAGGCTTGTTAAAACTCCTGGAGAATATACATCACCACTTGCCTCCAAAAATGGGAATAAAGTTGGTTTGAATAATTTGGAGAAAAACACCAACAAAGAAATGAATGCCTCCTGCATTTCTAAATTGCCCAGAACTAGGCCACGGCAGCTGGGATCTGAGCAAGACAGTGAGTTTTCCCCTTCGGACCAGAAGGTTAGTTATTAATTGGCCCACAAATGGTCTCATACATGCCTTATTGCTGTAAATACCTTTGTACAATAAACAATTACAGTATTGACAATCTGGAATTGTTGGAAGGAGAGCATCATCAAACTAAATTGTTTTAAATCTTGACTCCACCTAACCTGTTTTTATACAGCTCCAGTTGCTCTGTGGGGGTGGAGCAGGAGTGGAGTGGTTTATAGATCTAACCAAAGAAAAAACTCATTCTTTTTAACTAGGCTCTTGGACAGTCCTTTGCAGATCTTATCTCCCTATTTCTAAATAGTACTAATTTACAAGTAACTAATTACACTTTTATCATCCTTTTTTTTCCACAGCTAGACTTATCTCACAATTCTTAAAACCATAAAATGTAGTCATTTTATAATCATATGCCCTCACTTTTACTTCATCAAGGTCTCAAACACCACATGGAAAGTGACAAAGTTTGCTTGTTCGCTTTCATCTCTCCACTGCCCAGCAAAATTCCTGGTGCCCTAATTACAGTAAAATTTACTTTTTCTTGTCCATGACTTTAGACAAATGCATATCAATAAATATCCACCACCATAATCAAAATAACAAACATTCCCATCATTCAAAAACAATTCTTTCATTTTCTGATTTGTTTGCTTTGCTCAGCTGTGTCCTTTATTCTGTCCTTTCCTGATTCTTAAAATTCTCCCATTCCTTCTCTATACCATTAGTGATTCTCATTTTCACTGAAACCTTTTCTTTCCACTTGTAGTCACCTAAAACCATTCCTAATCCTGATAGGATTTTCACTTGACTGCATTTCTTTGAATTTACCATCCTTATTTGTGCAGTTTTCATTGCTAGACTTCTCAATGAAGTAGTTTTTTGCCTCCATTTATTTGATTGCCTATCTCCTTTATCCTAATACTCTAAATTCAATCTCAGAAATTTTACTTGAACTGTTCTTTCCATTGTCACCAACAACCTTTTTACTGATCTTTCCTAATATGCCTTCTTGAGCACTTGGCCTCTGGTCATCACTTTTTAAAACACCTTTCCTTTCATCTCACACCTCCTGGTTAGGATGGATTTGGGGGTACATAGTTTCAATCCATAGCAGGAAGGAAAGTAAACCTGGGTTATATTGGGACTGTGACTCTTGCCCTCCTCTCTCCTTTGGTCCATATCTTTCCAGGGAATCTGGGCTCCTTCTCCTTCTCTGTGCATGATGTTTTCTCTGCTCATGACTGCTTTTTTTTTTCCCACTTGGCTTTGTTTTGCTTAATTTTAACTGCAGTATTTTCATTCAGGCACCTGTGATTATTTGACTAATTTGTTTGTTTCATGTTCCAGTTTTATGTTTTTTAGACAGATAATTCCACTGACCCAGCCTGTGATTTTGGTGTTCATTAGTTCAGGAGAGACTACAGTCTTGGTCCAGTGAGCTAGGCCATGGGGTTGGCTGTGGGTAGGAGTATGTGTATAGTGAAGTTCCTTTTACCATCTTTGTTAGACTATAATAAGTTTTTTTTCTTCTTTATCTTTCTAAGCAGTTTCTTGGCCCTTTTTGCTTTTTATCATATTTTCAACATTTATTCATTCTATTCATTAATTTAGGGTGTTAAGAAGAATTGTAAACAGATTGAATCTGCTCATTTATTACCTGAGACACCTATTCAATTTATACCTCCAAATACATTGAACCTTCGTAGTTTTACCAAGATCATGAAGAGACTGGCTGAACTGCATCCAGATGTCAGCAGGTAGTAACTAAAATTATATTTTAACAGACAATATAAGTAAAAAATAGTTAAGTTCTATAACTTAGTCATATTCAGAATGCATTACTTTGGGAAAAAAATGCCCATGAATGTTTTCTTTTTGCATAGAGACCATATTATAGATGCTCTTCAGGAAGTAAGAGTAAATCGTAATGGTTTCCTGAATGGCTTATCTATTAGTACTATTGTGGAAATGACTTCATCTGTTCTGAAAAACTCTGCTTCCAGTTAGGAATAAACAAAGCAATAAAGAGGTAAAGTAACCATTTTCTTTGATATTTAAGTATTACTAAAGCATTTTAAGTTATTGATTTCATTTTCTTTAGAAATAAAAAGAATAATTTTAAATTAAAATAGTAACATAAAATACTAAATTTAAAAACCAGTATTGCATTAAATAACTATTAATTCAAAGCCTTAAAATTAATTAACTTAAACATTTATCATCTCACAATTTGCAGATTGGGATTCTTAGCTGGGTGGTTTTAGCTCAGAGTCTCACCATGTTGCATTCAAGATGTTGATCTGACTGTGGTAATCCAGAGGCTGGCTGAGATTGAAAGCTCAGCTTCTAAGAGGGTCCATTCACATGGGAGGCTTCAGTTGCTCATCACATGGACCTGCCTTTCCATTAGACTCGTTGGATGTCCTTACATGTGGCAGCTGGCTTCCCTTGGGAAAGTGAGAGCACAATGGAAGCAGCATTGTCTTTTGTGGACTGCCCTTAGGAGTTGCAGTCTGTCATTTTGCCACACTATTAAATGGGGATCACTAAATCTAATCCACACTCAAGGGGAGGAGAATTAAGCTCCACCTCTTGAACAAAGGCAACAAAGAGTTTGTGTATATTTTCTGAATTTCTACAGATTAACGTAGAATTTCTTTTGCAAACTAGTGGATCAGGTCTTTTGTTTCCAGCATAAGGTATCCAGGTAATTCAAGCCAACTTTCTACTGAGAACAGCTAGAAGCTCAATATATATATTTTTTAAAACAATTTTTGTTTGAAGACATTGAAGAGCTATCAATATAATGATCAATTACGTGGCTAATGTACAGAAAAAATATTCTCAGAGAAATATGCTCAATGTTTGGAACCAGTTTCTCCCTGGTATTTGCTAAGGAGCAGCTAAAGGGACCCTTTTTGTAACGTTACAGCTAGAGGAATGGAAACTTGGTAGACTTTGTAGGGGGTTGGGATTCCAAAAGGCTGTGCTCTAGGAGTAAATTTGAACTAGAACTAATTTGTTTCTCAGAGGGGCTGTAACTCAGATTTAGAATTTATTCCCTAGGTAGGATTGAAATGATCTACAGTTATTGCTTTTGCCAGATAACTAAGAGAAATTAAAATAAGAATTCTTTGTAATAAAGTAATACCATTTTAGTTCTCAAATTATTTATGCCAGAATTTGATACGTAATAGTTTATTTTGTGAATAAGAGTGTACTATAAAAAATAATCATAAAGAAATAAGCTCATGTGAATGAAAAATAACTTTAAAATGTGGTATATATACATAGTAGAATATTATTCAGCCATAAAAAAGAATGAAATTATGGCATTTGCAGTAAATGAAAGGATCTGGAGACTATCATGCTAAGTAAAATAAGCCAATCCCAAAACACCAAAGGCCAAATGTTCTCTCTGATATGCGGATGCTAACACCCAATAAAGGTGGGGGAGAAGGGAAGAATAAAAGTTCATTGGATTAGACAAAGGGGAATGAAGGGAAGGAAGAAGGGATGGGAATAGGAAAGACAGTAGAATGAATGGATACCTTTCCTATGTTCATATATGAATACATGACCAGTGAAACACTCTACATCATGTACAATCACAAGAATGGGAAGTCATACTCCATGTATGCATAGTTTGTCACAATACCTTCTGCCGTCATTTATAACTATAAAAAGAATAAATAATTTTTTTTAAAGTTACCTTAAGTACTAGATAATAGAAACTAACCAGAGAGATTCTAGATATTTGTCAGAACCACTTTAAAAAAAAAATGCCTGGGACTAGGGATGTAGCTTAGTATGATAGATCACTTGCCTAGCATGTGTGAGGCCCTGAGATCAATCCCCAGCACTGCAAAAACAAAAACACGTGCTTGCTGAGAGTGATGGTTCATGCTCAAGGCCAGCCTCAGCAACTTAGCAACATCCTGTCTCAAAATAAATAAATAAATAATAGCTCATTCTCCTGAGACACCATCAAAAAATTTTACAAACATAAGATTGTACATACAGGAAAAGAACCATCAAGAATAACAGTAAAATATTTTCATGAAAATAAAACTATAGTGGGCATGTTGGCATATGCCTATAATCCCAGCTCCTCAGGAAGCTGAGGCAGAAGTTGGAGGCCAGATTGGGGAACTTATAGAGACCCTGTCTCAAAGAAAAATAAAAAAGGGGTAGGGATGTAGCTCAATGGCAGAGCACTTGCCTAGCATGTGCAAGATCCTGGGTTTAATCCTCAGTACTGCAAAAAAAAAAAATCTGAAATAACTTGTTGCTTTAGAAGGAGAGACACTCTTAAAAAATAAAAATACTAAAGAGTGTTCAAGAAAGAAGGAAAGTGATTTTAAATGAAGGTTCAGAAGTGCAGGAGAAATGAATGTCAAAAAAGAACAATTATGTCCATACTGACTGTATAAAACAAGAATAGTGGTATTTTATAGAGTCTATATGATTAAAATATATGACAATACTAGTATATATAAGTTGAGAGGGAAATAAGTATTCTTACTGTTTTAAGCACCTTGCAGTTGGGGAAGAGAGGATAAAATGTCTATGTTAGGTTCCCAACCATTCCCCCAGGCTAGAAGGACTCAGCATGAAACAGTGTATAGGTGTACACATAGCTGTAACTTATTATAACATGATACAGAGCAAAATCAACAAAGGGAAAAGACACCTGTGGTGAGTCTGGAGGAAACCAGATGCAAACTTCTAGGGAGCCACACAGGGTGTGTTTGATTTCTCCATCTACTAGGGAAACTCATTAATGACTCAGGGCCCAAGGATTTTATTGGGGATTGGTCATGTAGGTACTCTGCCTACATACCATAGTCTACACTCAGAAAGAAAGCAGCTGTTTAGCATAAACAGATGTTTATATAAACAGTTTCAACACAGTGAGGCAGTCATAACTTCTGGAAAGGGGAGGAACCTCTTGAAATCCAGATTTCCAGACACTAGCCAAGGGCCTACCTTGTAAGTAGAATTTTCTAAAGACGGCACTCTTGGGTCTCTCTTGCTGTGTTAACTCTCTTTTCTACACATGCTGTTTGATATGAGACTTTGATAAACTAGCGAATGCATGTTGTATTCTGCTGAGGGGCCTGCCCTTCCAGTATTGACTGGGGAACTTGAGGGTGTGGAGAAACCCCTCTGGAGATAGTTTCAGAGAACAGTGTCTGCTTTATTGCACAGCAGAAATAGCTTTTACAGAGGGTATGTCTCAATTTACATATAACAGTCATGATAGGCCAGAGGTGACACACCTCTTAAGGGAATCAAGACACCAAGAGTCCAGAAACGGCCATGTAGGCCAGCCTTGCAACAGCACGGGAATAACTTCTTGTCAGGGGAGCAAGGAAATGGCACTTGCCAGTGTTTTGACAGCACTTTGCCCCAAAACACAGCGTTCTATGTTAGGACTTCCCTGCTGTATAATGAGCAAGATAAGCATTCCTCCGTGTAGGTCCAGGGTTAGGCCCTGCAACAGTAATCTTTGGAGTAACACTTAAAAGAACAAATCTTAAAAGCATGCAAATATAGAGTTGGGTCTTTTACCTATACCATATCCAAATATTAACTCAGAGTGGATCAAAAACTAAAACTGTTCATAGAAGAAATGAGTACAGAGTTTCAGATCGGGAAGAGGAAAGAGCTCTGGAGATTGATGGTGATAATGGCCATACAGCAGTGTTAACATACTTCATGAGTGTGAACCTGCTGAACTGTACATTTGAAAGTAGTAAATTTTATGTGTATTTTACTACAAAAAGAAAAAATATATAACTCCCATGATGATACGGGTGAGGAATTTGAAGTATTAAAAATAGTACAAAAGTAGTTTTTTAAAAAAATAGAATAAAAAGACACAGAGCAGTCAGGATAAATAGGAGGAACTTAGATGATGAAAATGCATTTATTTCAGTAAATACAATTGTAGATGAACTAAAAGACTTGATAGATCAACAGGTTAGATTTTAAAATGTCAACTACAAATACATAGTATTTCTAGATACCACCTAGAAGTATTAGGATATGAAAAGGTAAGAGTCTGGAAAAAGAAATAACTATATTAACACAAAAACAAAGCAATAAAATTATCAAGAGAGATGTTCCATTTACCAGGAATAAATAATAATTCTAAGTTTGTGTACATCTAAAATACCTTCAAAATATATAAGACAGATATTTCCAAAATTGCCAGGAAAAATGATTGTAAGTCTGTGATAATAATAGGAAGTTTTTAACATATTTCTCTTATAGAAGCAAGCAAAATGGGCTGGATTGTGGCTTAGTGGTGGAGTGCTCGTCTAGCATGCATGAAGCACTGGGTTCAATCCTCAGCACCACATAAAAATAAAAAAGATATTGTGTCCACCTAAAACTAAGAAATATTTTTTAAAAAGCAAGCAAAAAATATATCAGTAATGATACAGAACATCTGAACTACTAAAAAATAATCACTGGACTTAACTGGTCATATTTAGAACACAGTATTCCCTAAAATGAAAAAATAAATAAAGTGTCTTCGAGTCACCTGAAATGTTTACAAAATTTGACTATATACTAGACCATAAAATAAGTCTCAAAAAATGCTAAAAGAATGAAAAAAGTATATTTCTGACCATAATACAAATAACCTAGAAATCATTAATGAGAATAAAAATAGGAAAACCCCATGTTTTGAAATACATGTCTAACCAATAAATGAAGGAATTCATAATTAAAACTGGACTATATGTTTTAGTGAATGATGATGAAAATGCTCCATATCAAAGTTTGTGGGACACAGAGCTGTGCTATAACTGAAATGGATAGCTTTAAATGCCTATGTCATAAAATAAATAACTGAAAATTAATGAGTAAAGTGTGCAATTCAAAAATTTGGAGAAAAAAGAAAAAGTATAAGAAAGGAAGAAATTAAACTCATCATCTGTATGTACAGCTAATTCTATACATAGGAAATCCCATGAATTCTACACATAGACTATCAGAATTAAAAAGGATTGCTGGATGCAAAGACAGTACACAAAAAAGTCAGTTGCAATTCCACATACCATATAATGTCGGAAAAATGGATTTTTAAAAAAGATAATCATAGTACCATTAAAACTATCAACTACCAGGAATGTATTTAACAAAAGACTCAAGACCTCTATTTGAAAACTATAAACAGAGAAATTAAAGAAATTCTAAACAAATTGAGGGTTGTATCTTCTGTCTGGATTAGAAGACTCAATAGTGTAAAGATACCTGTTCTCTTCATCCTGTCCAATGCATTTAGTGCTATCCTGATAAAATCCTAATCATGTATTTTTGTGGAACTAAATAGCAAGCAGATTCTCAAAATTATGAAAATACAAAAGGTCAAGTATAGCCAAATGGTTTTTGAGAAAAATAAAGTGGACTGGTTTTATCATATGTTGATGTTATGAAATGATAATATTATTTTTGTGCAAGGAAAGACAAATAGATCAACTGAACAGAAAAGAGAACTTTAAAACAATGACATAAATATGTAATCACTTGATTAGCATGAAGGTGGCATCACAGAATAATAGGGAATAGAACAGTCTTTTTAATAAATGATTTTCTCCATCTGACAAGAAATTTTCACCAATCAGATTGGTAGACATTCTGCTGTTGGGACAGTCAGTGCAAATGAAAGGAAAATCATCAGTGCCTTTAAAAGTCATACATGTATTTACTTTTTGACCTAAAAATCTCACTTCACCATTCTGTCAGAAATAAATTGGCAGATATAATGTCTCATGCACAAGGTTCTTTGGCAGAAGATTAGAAACATCTACATATTGACTGTTAGACAAAAATAAGAAAAGGTCTGAACACTAATGGAGTAAACTTCTGTCAATTTTGTTTATGTAACTAAATCAAGAGAAATATATGCAATCTACATTTTAAAAGGGAGAAATATGAGTATAGGTACACATATTTACTTTTGTTTGTAAGAAGAAACTGGAAGGAAAACCTGATAAAATGATTGCAGGGAGAGGATGATATAGTGATAGAAACAAAAGGTCTCATATACATTCTTGGTTTTGGAAACCTAAATGTTTTCCATTTGCTAATATAAAAGGAAAGAGAAAATAATTTTAAATGAAAACAAAACTAAAATGAATGAAACTACTTGTATAACCATATAAAAGAAAATAATTATTGCATTTATTTTTTAGGTGTAGATGGACACAACACAATGCCTTTATTTTTATGTGGTGCTGAGGATCGAACCCGGGTCCCGCCCGTGTTAGGAGAGCGCTCTACTGCTGAGCCACAATCCCAGCCCCTAATTATTGCATTTACATGTTTATTACATTTTAACTATTCTTCTAGATATATCACATATTCTAAGTACAACTAGAGCTGTAAAGAATCATAAATCATAATAGTAACAACACTTTGGAACTTTTTAAAAATATATTTATTTTTTAGTTGTAGTTGGACACAATACCTTTATTTATTTATCTTTATGTGGTGCTGAGGATCGAACCCAGGGCCTCGCGTGTGCTAGGCAAGTACTCTACCACTGAGCCACAACCCCAGCCCCAACACTTTGGAACTTTATATAGAAAACATAATTATGTTAGAAACTGATATCTTTGGTATACAAGAAGAAAGGTATAAAAATCAAAAGCTAAATTTAAATTTCTGTATTATTAAACTTGAATTGAAAATAATATTAAGTCATGATTCTGAATTTCAGAATTACCTGATTGTAGTTTTATCTATTGAAAACACTCCAAAGCCAATGAGAACCCAGCGACATTGAGCACAACTAACATCTAGATTGTTTCTCTGAATACCATTTCCTACTACTTTTGTCTTTGATCTTTCCAGCCACACATTTAAATAGTGCTTTATATTTACTTTCTATCTTAACTATCATCTTGCTTTTATCTCCAGTAATCTGTTAAGTCTAGTCTTGATCATTTACAAATTCCCAGATAATCATTTTGTTACATTTGTTACTCTTTATGACCCATTCCACTCTTAAAATCATTGTAAAATTTAAAGCAATCAAAAATGTACATATTTTCACATATGTGTGCAAAAGTCTATATACCAGGTCACGATATATAAGGTTTCCCGCACCCCAGAAGGCTTCTATGTGCCCCTTCTCAATTATTACCCTGTATACCACTATTAACCTTTTTTTGACTTTTGGATGCTGAGAAGTCAGCTGAAATAAAATTTCCTGCCTTCCAGGAACCTGAATTCTAGAAAGGAAAAGGAAATAAAAATATATTTTCAAATAATGATACATTCTACAAAGTAGAATCATGGGCTACAAAATAATGAGGGACAGGATGTATGTCTACTAAGGTAGCTTAGGTGCTTTACAATGATAGAAGATGACACCTGACCGAATTGGATTTTCTGTTAAAACACTGTTAATAATTGGTTTTTTTCTGTAAACAATGTCTGAAAAGTTTTCTGTGTATAATATCTGGCATCCTTCAATCTAATAATAGAGCTTATTGATATAATAAATCAAGTAATAGAATTTAATTGTGAATTAACACATACGATATTCATGTATAAGTGAGTCTTGATAAGTTTAGTAGTAGTGTATACTAATAACTAAATATATGCTTTCCTAGAATATTAGGTTTAGCAAAATCAATATATTTCATTGTTGATTTTTCCCTTCTGTTCTTAACCCTATAGGATTTCCATGGAAATCAGAGTGCCCTTCTTCAGAGAATGTTCTGCAGCACTTAGAAAAAAGTTATGGTAATAGCAAGATACAATTAAATAACCTCAGTAACTAGCCTTAGCTGTTAAAATATTTTACTTCATATCCCTCCATAATTTTATCTTTTTAAACTTTATTTCAAACTTGTTACTTAGAGACTTAAAACTGCATATTTTGGATCAGAAAAAAGGTCATGTCCATTTTTAAAAAACCTTTGATAAGTCAATTTAAAAAAAAAAACTGACCTAGAAAAGGTTTATTGATATCGTTTCATAGTTCATTAACTGATATCCATACATAAAACTGTAATTTACCTTAAGTTCATATATTAGCTGCAGTTTTTAAATGTCTAAAAGACCCTTAAATTGGACCATAAGATAATAGATAGTTTGAATTTATAGAAATAGAAAATATTGTCACATTTATTTTTAAGCTCAAAGACAAGTAAGTCACTGCTGTGATATACTTAATGCATATTTCCAACTTCAGTATGAAACATTCAATTGTAGTTTTCCTGTTTTCACAGAGAAGGGTGACCCATGTGTGCTTTGGTCTAGTACTGAAATTTAAATGGTTATCATATTGCTTGCACCTGTTCTGTGATAAGTTCTTTTGTATTAGTGTATAAAGTGGAACACTTTTCAAAGGCTAATTTGGTTCCCTATCTGATAGGAATATAGGATATAAACTTCTTTAATTGCTTGCTTTTTTAAAGTACCAAATATGTACTTCTTAAAGTTACATGTTTAATAATAATAAGTGTTTAAATGTTTAGAGCATCCAGTGTATAGTTGGTGTTACTTGATTACAAATTTCCCACTTAACATTTATATTTGATGTACTTAAATTTAATAAAGGCAGCTAATCTATAATTCCACTGTAAATCTAATACTTTCTGGAAGTGCAATGGGATTGTCCAAGTGTGAATTAACCTCCCAGTGTTATGTGGACTACATAGGGCGGTAAGACCAAATATTAAACTGCTAGATTTCATATTTTTCCTCTTTTATGAGATTTTTTTAAATATTTATTTTTCAGTTGTAGTTGAACACAATACCTTCATTTTATTTATTTATTTTTATGTGGTGCTGAGACTCGAACCCAGGGCCTCGCACGTGCAAGGCAAGTGTTGTGCCACTGAGCCACAATCCCAGCCCTTTATGAGAGTTTTAAGAATAAGGTTTTATTTCATAAATTACATTGTATCTCCAGATATTACTGTATCTACCCCATATGTCTACCAAGAACTGAATTTCAAAATGTTTTAAAAAAAAAAAAAAGATTTTGAAAGGACCCTCTTAAATGAAACTTGAGGATAATAGGCTTTTTCCATTTATCAAATTAGTAGAACACTAAAATTAAGGGATTTTTTTCCTAAATGTTAAATAATGATATAGTTGTTTATATTAAAATGCTACATTCAGAGTTAGCACAGGACCACTCTGCAACATGGAATAGACATTATTTTTAACATAGTAGGAATAAGACAAATACCTCTAGTTAGTTATTTCTGAAAGGAATGATGAAGTGGAATTCTCTCTTAGAATACAGAGAAACAAAATTACTATGTTTGATTTGGGGAAGATATAGAAAAGGTCATTTTTAATCTGAGGTTTTTTAAATTTATAATTCTGAGAACAAAGTTAAGAATCAAACAGCTTTTGTTAAGTGTTATTTATATTATCAAGGAAACAGATGTTGCCCTACAGCCACCAGAAGAACTGTAGCCTTTCAGCATGACCAGTAAATTGATAACTATTACTACACTTCCCAAGTTAAATCAGAAACTCAAAATTATTCTTCATGAATCTTTTGGAGCCTCAGTGTTTATCTTTTGGTCTACAGTCTAATTTGATATTAGATAATTTTATAAATTCATTTAGAATTTTAAAAGGCAGTCAGATTGTCCCAAGTTTCCATGTATCTTCACAAGCAGAATTTCAAATTTTAGTATACTTATATTGTTGTTCATTGTTTCTTACATATACTATAATATTAGAATAATAAAGAGCATTTACCTGTGTCAACTAGAATAGGTAGATAATTGTTTTGAGGTAACTAGAACTCTGAAATGTTATAAGTATCATACAAAAAAGTGGGACTAAAAATTCTACAATGGCTCTGTCTGATGCCAGTCTGAATTCTGGTCAAGGGAAATAATGTGTGATTAAAAAGCTTAGTATACAAGTAATTTCTTATTAAAGAAATAGTTTTTTTGCCAGCATTCTATCTATATTGACTTTTAAGTACTAACTTGGGCAGAAGAATGGCGTTCTGAAGTGTCCTGTTGTCATTCCCAGAACCTGTGAATGTGTCTTATGTGACAAAAATTAATATTGCTAATCAGTAGTTCACCTTGAGTTGGGAAGCTTACCCTAGATTATCTGGGTAGTCTTAATCTAATTACATGAGTCCTTAAAAGTGGTAGAAGAGGCAGAAAAGAGACTTGGAGAAAATGGCATTTGCAAGAACTTCACCCATTCCTGCCGACTTTGAAGACTGAAGGGTCCAGGAGCCAAGGAATGTGGTTGGCCGCCAGGAGCAGGAAAAAATCAAGGAAACAGATGTTCCCCTACAGCCACCAGAAGAATTGTAGCCTTTGAGTTTAGCCCAGTGAGGCCAGTGTCAGACTTCTGACCTCCAGAAGTAAAATAAATCTGCATTGTCTATGCCACCAAGTTTATGGTAATATGTGAGATAAGCTTTATAAAGCTAATAGTTTTAATTGTTCCTAGAAAACTATCAGGAATATTACAGGTTCTATGTATCTTTGCCTGAATTTTTAGTCTGAGGGTGGGGGATATACCTGATCTATGAATATTGTATGAATTCCCAGCTAGTAGTATGGATGTAGAACTTCTGCCCTAATAACACGACAGATGGGATTGACAGATCAGAGAATATCTTTATCGTATGTATTAGGAACATTGACTGTTATAAATTATTTTTGCTTTTACTGCTAGAAAACTGGGAGCCAAACTGGTTCATCTTTAATAGTGTACTATTTAAGAATGCAGCCTCTGAAGCATTTTCTAAGTTCAGATTTCTGCTCCTGCCTTGTTCATAATCTCTCTGTACTTCAGTTGCCTGCTCTGTAAAACAGAGATAAGAGAAGTATCTGTCTTCCTAGGGAGATAGAGTAATGCATTAGCCACAGTGTTTGTTATAACATAAAAGCATTCAGTCAAGGTGTGCTGTAGCTGCGAATGCTATCATCTGCCAGTGTGTAATGCATCTTTTAGGGTCATACCTTCACTTTGATTTAAATTACTTCATTTTATTTAATTTATTTTTACTTTTGTTCTATGGAATGTTTGTAACCTGCTTCAGTATTAAGGAAGGTCATAGATCAGTGTGTAAGTCAGGAGATAACTTGATTACAAATGGTAGAAACATAACTCATTAGCCAAAGCACAAAAAATGAAAATGAATTTACATAATTGAAAACTTGAGAAATGAATTCAGGTATAGCTGGGTCTAGAGGATTTTGATTTTTTTCTGGATTGGTATCAGAGTCTCTATACATGAGGGCAAAGATTACCAGCAGTAGTTCTAGCTAGATATGTATAATCATTCTGTTCTTAAAAATAACAATCCTGAAGCCAGGCGCGGTGGCACACGCCTGTAATCTCAGAGGTTTGGGAGATTGAGAAGATCAGAAGGATTACAAGCTCAAAGCCAACCTCAGCAAAAACAAGGTGTTAAGCAACTCAGTGAGACCCTGTCTCTAAATAAAAAATACAAAATAGGGCTGGGATGTGGGTCAGTGGTCAAGTGCCCCTGAGTACAATCCTCAATGCCCAAAATTAAATAAATGACAATCCTGAGGGGAAAAGTGTCCTTTTCTCACTATTTAAGCCCCAGGAAAGACATGATGAAGCAGACTTAGATTACATGCTCTGTGAATGTCTGAAATGAAAGGATGCCCGGAAACAGGATAGGTGATTTTCCTAGGAAAAAAACAAATAACTAGGGGACATTTTCCCCTCATTTGATAATACAAAGACTTTGCAGACTGTAACTGCATTAGTATTCATAAACATATGATGTATATCCAAAACTTAGAAATACATTCACAGTAAGGTCACTAGCTTGACTCTAAAATGCTTTCAACAAACTATCATTAGTTTCAGAGTTAAAGGATTCTTCCTCACACACATGCACATGCAACATCCTGAGTAATTAGGAGTGGTTAAAAGAACTGCTAAGAAATAGGCTCATGAGCAGTGTTAATTCAGTGTTGAGTATACAACTGTTTTTTAATTTGACAATAATTTTAGGCTTACAGAACAGTTGCCAAAATGCTGCAGATAGGTTATGTATGCCTTTCACCCAGCTTACTTTAATGTTTTTACTTAACAACACAATTTTATATAGTATAAGATAATCAAAAACCAGGAAATTAACATTGACACAATACTATTAAATACAGACAATATTCAGTTTCTTGTTTTCTCTCTGAATTTCTCTTTCTATTCCAGGATCAATCCGGTAGCCCACATTTCATTTGATTATTGTGGTTTTTTTTTAATCCCCTCCAGCAAATGACAGTTCCACAGCATTTTCTTGAGTTTCATGGCCTTGACATTTGATGAGTATTGATTGGTTATTTTGCAGAATGCTTCTTTAGCTTGAGCCTTTCTGATGTTTTCTCCTGATTAGATTGAGATTATGCATTTTTGATAGGAGTACTCAAGGATATCCTCTGCAGGATATACTATCCTTGATCAACAAGTTAGAGAGGCTTCTGCCAGTTTCTCCAGTGTTTAAAGTTATCATCTTTCCTTTGTAATTAAGGGAGTTCTTTGAAGGTTTACAAATATATTTCCTAAAAAATTTTGCCCACTGGTTTCAGCATCCATCAACAGATCTAGCCTGAAATAGTTACCTTGTGATGTTTGTTAAGGGGTTTCACAGGTTTCTTGTTAATTCTACATGTATTATGTGGAATGTTCCTATAAGGAAAAGCTGTTCCTCCTCCTCCTTGTTTGTTTATTTGTTTGTTTGTTTATTTATTTATAGCAGTTGGGACTCATAGATGTTTATTTTGTTCTGTGAGTTACATTACAATACTGTGAGTTACATTACAATACTGTCATTACTTACTTTGCTCCTCAGATCATTGCAGCTCTAACAGGGGCTATTTTTAGGTTGGGTTCTGTGTTCTTTTGAAAATGCTGTCCTTTTCCAAGTACTTATTTTCTGGCACTGCAGACTATTTTAGTCCCATCTTGAACATTCCCTGCTCCAGCACGGGAATGAATGACTTAAACAAGCTGTCCTTGTATGGAGAGTGGTATTTAGAAACCAAGATCTTGTCAGTAAGGTATGCTCATTGCTGTCGGAGTTGGTCTCAGGCTCAATTGATACAGGTAAGAAGTGTGTGTGTGTGTGTGTGTGTGAGAGAGAGAGAGAGAGAGAGAGAAAATTAAGCCTTGCACAGACACACCTATATTTGTTTCTATATTTGGTCCATTGGCTATATATACTTGTTCATACTGATGCTTTAAATTTCTATTCCCTTCCTTATTTCTACCTTCTTTCACCAATAGTGAGAAAACTGCCAGGTACAGTGGCACATGCCTATAATCCAAGTGACTTGGGAGGCTGAGACAGAAGGATTCAAGTCCAGCCTCAGCAACAATTTAGTGAGACCCCCCATCTCAAAAAAAAAAAAAAAAAAAATACAATAAAAAGGACTGGGTATGTAGCTCAGTGGTAAAGTGACCTGGGTTGAATCCCTAGTACCAAAACTAAACTGGATCCTGTTATTCTCAATATACTTATTTGTCCATTCCTGGTATACACATATGGACATTACAGCTTTTAAATCGTAACCCTATGAGAGACTGATTTACTAACTGGAGTACAG